GGACCTATCAGGTATTTGGAATTTGGTTAGTGTCAACCACTGAGTGAAGTGGAAAAAATTTTTGCTGTCAAACCTGTTCTCATCTCCACATCCCACTTCCAGCAACCCTCACCAAAGCCACTGAAAAATCCTCCTAGCTTGTCATTATACAGAAACGCTTTTGCTCCTTTTGTAATTTGTTCTCTATATTGTAGCCATTGTGACATAAAAATTCAAATCTGGCCATGTCACTTTCTTAAAAGCTTTTAATAGACTTATTTGGAGAAACACCAAAATTGTCTTGTGACTCCACTTAATCTGGCCCCTGTCTCTTGTCCTAGCTTCTCTTGCCGGTCTTCCCCTCAGTCGCACCACTTCAGTCATACTTGCCTTCGTTCAGTTCTTTGAACCTGCTTGCTCTTCTTGCCTGGGACTTTTTCTACATGCTGTTCTCTCTTCCTAGAAGTAAAAGCCTTCACTGGGTAATCCCTCTTCATGCTTTCCCTAGCCTTCCAACCCTACTAAAATGAGATCCATTTCTTCATCATACGTTCTTACAACTTTCTGTATATTTCCTTTATGGTAATTCTCAGTTTGTAGTTATTTATTGATATGCTTATTCTAATAATGTGCATCTGCCTCACATTTAATCTTCACAACTACTCAGTAATATCTGTATCATTACCCTCATATTAAAGATGAGTATTCTATGTAACCTGCCCAAGACCACTGAGCTAGTAAGTGAGGGAACTGGCATTTGAACCTGCAGTATTTACAAGACTGTAGTTATCATATGGGCAGGGACCGCATTTGCTTTTCCTGACTGTTCTGTTCTCACACCTAGCATAATGTTTGGGAAATACCTAGTTGAAATATTTGGGATGCTGAATTAAGGAGAAAATGTACTTATATTCTTGTCTCTGCACAGTATTTTCATTTCATATGTGTATAATGTAACACACAATGTCAGTTTAAAATTTCCCAACACCATTAGCAGGCTAACTGATTTAGCCCGATATGGTTGGTGTATCATGTATATATAGCTCGTGATAGGACCAGCTTTTCATTTTCTCAAAAATTCATGTGCCATGGTTCTTTTATTGTCAGGTGTGTACAAGCTGTGAGGACAACGCAGAAGCTAATGGGTTTTGTGTAGAGTGTGTTGAATGGCTCTGCAAGACGTGTATCAGAGCTCATCAGAGGGTAAAGTTCACAAAAGACCATACTGTCAGACAGAAAGAGGAAGTATCTCCAGGTAATACATGAGTTATTTTCTTTTTTTTTCTTCTATCTTTCCCCGTCTTTTCTTCCTTCCTGTATTGACTTGTTTTGACACTTTTATTTTGATAAGTATTAAATATATACTCTTAAGTAAAAGAGGTTTATATTATAATTGAAATTTAAATACTTAAAAATGTTGGAAAATGTGAATAGATGTAGAACCCTGTTTTACATTCATACTGCATGTCCTCCTGCTTCTATAAATGTCTTCAACTGGTGTGAATATAGAACAAATGGAGAAAAAAATTGCTTTTTCTTATTTTTCTTTTATCTCTAAGGTAACAACAAAGAGTGGGCTTAAATATTTTATAACTCTTTTTCTTTTGATATTCTTGTTGCAAACCTGCATCATGATTATTTGTCTGATATGTGGATAGCCAGAGAGGCTTTTTTATGTAATTATTATTTCTGGTTTTATTGTCTTGTTTTTAATGTACAGTTCACTCATATATTTTTTATTTGGTAAAATACATGCAACATAAAATTTGTCATTTTAACTATTAAATGTACAATTCAGTGGCATTTATTACATTTACGCGTTGTGCAAGCATCACTACTATTTTCAAAACTTGTTTATCGCCCCAATCAGCATCTTTGTACCCTTTAAGTAATAACTCCAATTTTCTGGCTGGACGCAGTGGCTCATGCCTGTAATCCCAGCACTTTGGGAGGCTGAGGCGGGTGGATCACGAGATCAGGAGATTGAGACCATCCTAGCTAACACGGTGAAACCCCATCTCTACTAAAAACGTACAAAAAATTAGCCAGCCATGGTGGTGGGCGCTTGTAGTCCCAGCTACTCGGGAGGCTGAGGCTGGAGAATGGCATGAACCTGGGAGGCGGAGCTTGCAGTCAGATCGCGCCACTGCACTCCAGCCTGGGTGACAGAGCGAGACTCCGTCTCAAAAGAAAAAAAAAATAATAACTCCGTTTTTCTTCCCCTAGCTCCTGGTAACTTCAAACCTATTTTCTTTTTTGTGAGACTGAGTCTTGCTTTGTCACGCAGGCTAGCTGTAGTGCAGTGGCGCGATCTCAGTTCACTGCAACCTCTGCTACCTGGGTTCATGCTATTCTCCTGCCTGTAACTGGGATTACAGGTGTGCGCCACCATGCGTGGCTAATTTTTGTATTTGTAGTAGACACGGGGTTTTACCATGTTGGCCAGGCTGGTCTCGAGCTCCTGACCTCAAGTGATCCGCCAGCCTTGGCCTCCCAAACTACTGGGATTACAAACATGAGCCACTACACCCAGCCTTTATTTTCTGTCTCTGTAAATTTGCTGATTCTGGATATTTCACACAAGTGGAATCACATGGTATTTGTTCTTTGATATCTAACTTATTTTACTTAGTGTAATATTTTAAGGATTCATCCATGTAATAGCATGTATCAAAATGTAGCAAAACCTTTTTTTTTGTGTTTGTTGTTTGAGACTAGTGAAAGACTTGGTATAATACCAGCGCTTTGGGAGGCTGAAGTGGGATGATTGCCTGAGCCCAGGAGTTCTAGACCAGCCTTGGCAACATGGCGAAACCCTATCTACAAAAAAAAGAAAATTAGCTGGGCGTGATAGTACATGCCTGTAATCCCAACAACCTGGGAGATGAGATGGTGGGAGGACCGCTTGAACCAAGGAGCTCGAGGCTGCAGTGACCTGTGATCATTGCCATTATATTCCGCTTGCACGACAGTATGAGATCCTGTCTCAAAAAAAAAAAAAAAAAAAAGAATTGCATTGCTGGAGTTAATTCCATATTTCATCTTGATGTGTTGTGCTTTTAATATAATATATTACCGATTTTCTCTATCTGGTTATTTTCATTTTCATTCTGAATTCTACGTGTTTACATATTTGTATCTTCAGAAATACTTCTTGAATTTATTTATCTAATTATCAGTTTTATATGTTTTAGTTCATTAATTTTATCTGTAATTCCTCTCAGGTTACCTTAGGGTTTTTGCGTGTGTGTTTTGTTTTGTTTTGTTTCTTGAGACAGAATCTCACTCCATGACCCAGGCTGGAGTGCAGTGATGCGATCTCGGTTCACTGCAAGCTCCACCTCACGGGTTCAAGCAATTCTCCTGCTTCAGCCTCCCAAGTGCCTGGGATTATGTAATCTCTGTGCCACCATGCCTGGCTAATTTTTGTATTTTTAGTAGAGATGGGGTTTCACCATGTTGGCCAGGCTGGTCTGGAACTCCTGACCTCAAGTGATCCACCCGCCTTGGGCTCCCAGAGTGCTGGGATTACAGATGTGAGCCACCATGCCTGGTATAGGCCAGCATACTAGTTTGTCAGTTTTGACACTATTGACATTTTGAGCTAGATAATTCTTTATTGCTGGGTACTGATTTGTGCATTATTTAAAAAAAAGAAATGCAAATGGCTAATTACTGAACATTGTTTCATTTCAGTTATTAAAGAAATGCATTCTAGGATAGTGACGTATGTGTCTTCTCTCTTTCTCTCTTTCTGTCTCTTGCATTTATTAAATTGTCAAAGATGAAAAATTTTGAGAGTTCCCCCTGTTAATATGGTTAATAGCCACTCTACACTGGTTGGAGTACAAATTGGCACAATTATTTAGCTTTTCTCTGTATGAATTACCCTTTAACAATTCTACCAGTAGGAATTTATCTTATGGAAACATTTAAATGATTTATAATTTTCATATGTTTATTTCAGCATTATTTGCAGTACTGAAAAATGAATAACTTACAAATATCCTTAGCAAGCGGTATAGTGGTTTATCTATTTTGTGAAATACTATACAGTTAATAAATAAGAAATGAGGTGGATATATATACTAATACAGAAAGGCATCTAAGGTAGAGTTAAGTGAGAAAAAAAATCTTTAAAAGACAATATATGTACTGCCATTTATTGTTTTATAAAATGTAACACTGCACTATACTATATGTACTTCCATACTTAGAAAAACAACCAGAGGAATGCACACCAGGTTATTAATAGTAATAATCTCTGGAGGTAGGATTATTTCTGAAATGTTTGGATTTTGCCTTTAATTGTTAGTAAGATAACTGAGGTTTACTATTTAACCATATTTATTCATATTCTGATTTTTTTCACTTAACATGACATAAACATTTTCCAGTTTTATTCCCACACTGGAAAACTAGAGTGTAATAATGAAAATATTATTATTTCTGTGTTAATGAGTATCCTCTGTTAGGATTTTTACAAAAGTAGGTTATTTGACTACTCCTTTTAGACATTGTTATTATATTTTCTTTCTCCCTCCCTCTCTTTCCATCTCTTTCTCTACCTCTCTGTCTCTGTCTATGAGGTCTTACAATGTTCCCAGGCTGGACTCAAACTCTTGGTGCTCAAGCAACTGATCCTCTCAACTCAGCTTCCTGAATAGCTGAGACTACAGGCGTGGGCCACTGTGCCCTGCTGGATTTTCCAAATTGCATTTTCAAAAAATCTCCTCCCATATTTGGGATAGAAGACATCCAGGTGGTTCACACTCATTTACCAGGGCTGTCTTCTTAAGGCTTTTTAATGCAATAAAACATATTTTTAACTACACACTTAGTTCTTTCATTTACTTCTGAATTAATTTTAATTTCTTCCTGGAAAATGAAAAGGTTATTTGCTTTTTTCCCCGAAATGCTGACAATATGTGATATCTTAATATCTGTAATTCTTAGTGAAAGTTATGGTATAGGTGAAGCTGTAGTGTTTATATCAATAGATGTGAATTCAAATGGGCAATCGAATAATTATTTACTATTCAATTATGTTCATTTTCTTCTCTCTGTCTCCCATTGTTTCTGCAGAGGCAGTTGGTGTCACCAGCCAGCGACCGGTGTTTTGTCCTTTTCATAAAAAGGAGCAGTTGAAGCTGTACTGTGAGACATGTGACAAACTGACATGTCGAGACTGTCAGTTATTAGAGCATAAAGAGCATAGGTACCAGCATCTTTGGTTATGTATATAGATTCATATACAGCTTTAGAGGACTAAAGGACTGCTGCCAACCCTCATCAAATGGCAGTCTGAAATAGGTTTTGTGTAACCAGCAGTATGCTGGCCTATACCAGGGTTTATCAATTTTGACACTACTGACGTTTTGGGCCAGGTAATTCTTTATTGTTGGAGACTGATCTGTGTGTTATATGGTGGTTAGCATCCTTGACCTCTACCAACTAGTTGCCAGTAGCAACCCTCTAACCCTCCCCAGTTGTGACAACAAAATGTGGCTCCAGACATTGGCAACATCCTATGGAGCAAAATCATCCTGAATTGAGAACACTGGCCAACACACTGTTTAAAAATATATAGAACTAGTTGCCAGCATTGTAAAATGGGGAGATTTTACATTTTTTAAATATCTAGATTTTTGGCTTTTTTGAGAAAATGGAAGCTCTTCTAGCCCTGGGTCTGTATACATTCATGTCAACGTTTGAGGCTTGCCTTTTCCAGTTCATTATAGTTCCGAGCAAAGCTTACTTTTAAATCTCATCTCAACAATCATTCAGGTCAGCAACAGATGATTTAGACAGTAAGATTCAAATCGATACAAAATATAATTGCTTATGATGGTCTAGGCTTCTGATACTGGCAGACTGGATAATTTGGACCAACAGTGAGAATGACTAGAAAACCTGCACAAAATACAGAAATTATCTATATGAAATGCTAGAGCTAATAAAATAGTAAAGCATTATTGGACAGGATTGGGTTGGAGCTGGGGCTAAGGATGGTGGGGGCCTTTTACTCCCCTTGAGGTATTTGCCTAGAGATGAGGAGTAATTTTAATAGGCTCACAGAGCTGAGAAATCACGGCCTGGAGTGCAAGGATCATGCATGGTCAATGTGTCTCCTTGTCTTGAGTTGGTACCCTGAAAGTCTACACTATTACAGTAAAGATAAATTAGCTAGTAAGTAGTTCCTCACAGGGCCTAAAGCTCAGCACTTAAAATTGGATTAAAGTGAAGTCATATCGCTGGCTCCTCAAGTTTCCTGGTAGAATCAAATGTAAATCCTTACCAGAAAGACAAAGAAGACATCTAGGCCTCCAACTTAGTCAATAATGAATTTTGGAAAAACGATACTCACAGAATTAGAAATAACCAGGTTTGTTAGGAGATTAGACAATGTGAACATAGTGAGACCCCATCCCAACAAAACATTTGCTGGGCACAGTGGTATGTGCTTGTATTCCTAGCTACTTGAGAGACTGAGGTGCTCCCACCTGAGCTCCTGGGATTGCTTGAGCCCAGGAGTTCAAGGCTGCAGTGATAGTGCCACTGCACTCCAGCCTAAGTGAAAGGATGAGACCCTGTCTTTAAAAAAGAAAGAAAGAAAACCCTGAAAATTACAGTATCTGAAATTAACTCAGTAGAAGGGCTTAAGAACAGATTTGGCATAGCATGAAATGAGAATTAATGAGCTAGAAGAAAATTAAGAAAATATCCAGAAAGAAGCATCATCAAGAGGAGGATGAAAAGTAGAAGACATTGAAGATCTAATATGGATGTACTTGCAGTCCAAGAAGGATGGAAAGTACAGAGAATGGGAAGGAAGCAATATCCGAAGACAGAATGTAATGGCTGAGAACTTTCAGAAGCTGACGAAAGGCATTTAGCCTATATTTAAGAAGTTGCACAAACCTCTAGCAGGATAATTAAGAAAGTAATATTTTTAAAGTGCAAAAATAAAGTAACTTTCAAATCTAAAATTCTGTACCCAGTAAGCATATTCTTTAAATATGAAGGTGGATGAAAAATGTTTCAGGCAAAATACACTGGGAGAGCATATCCCTGATAAACTCTCACTTAAAGTACCTCTTAGCAGAAGAAAAATAATAGAAGATACAGAAAGGAATATGGAGCAATTAAAATAATAGGTATGAGTAAATCTAAATGAATGTTGACTTAGGAAACTATCTTTTTGGTGTGGTATGTGTATATGTATATCACATAGCAGTAAATGTGCTAAAAGGGTATGGAATTTATGTTCTAAGGTCCGTGCATAGTCTAGGAAGAGGGTAAAAAGTGCAAATATTAGATGATATGTAAATATCTGTTTTTGTAATGTCTAGAGTAGTCACTAAAAGAATAGTAAGTACATGTAATTACCAAGGTGTGGAGAGTTGTGGGGATGTGGAATAATCAGTATAAACAAAGGCCAAAAAAGTGAGAAAAAGAAATAAAGAACAGATGGAATATAATGAGGCCTTGGTAAGTTGGTAGATCTACAAATATACTATAATTATACTAAATGTGAACAGACAAAATGTTCCAAATTATAAGACAGGTTTCGGACTGGATAAGAAGGAAAATAGAAAAATGTACTATTTTCTTTTTATGAGAAATATCTAAAAACTCAATATATAAAAGACTTAATGGGAAAAGACACACCATATAAATACTAACCAGAGGCAAAATGGCACAGTAGACAAAATCCATTATTTGAGATAAAGAGGGACACTTTGTAAGGATGAAAGACTCTCTTCATCTAAAAGATATGAGTTGTAAATTTATACAGGTTATAAACTTACAAAAAAATGACAGAACTTCAAACTAATAGAAAACTCCATAGTCACAGTGGAAAATCTTACCACTTTACGCAATAATTGAAGCCGAGTAGTGTGGCAGGTACCTGTAAGTGCTAGCTACCTAGCTACTCAGGAAACTGAGGTGGGAGGATGGCTGAAGTCCAGGAGTTTGAGTTCAGCCTGGGCAACATAGCAAGACCTATCTCTAAAAACTAAATAAGTAAATAAACAACACAAAAAGCAGACTAAAAAATCGGTAAAGATAGAGAAATAAGGGCCAAGCATGGTGGCTCGCACAAATAAATACATACACACATACGTAACTGACAAAACAAGAAGACTAAAAAATCAGTAAAGATAGAGAAATAAGGGCTGGGCACGGTGGTTCACACCTGTAATCCCAGCTACTCGGGAGGCTTAGGCAGGATAATTGCTGGAACCTGGGAGGTGGAGGTTGCAGTGAACAGAGATGGCACCATTGCACCCTGGCCTAGGTGACAAAAGCAAAACTCCATCTCAAAAAAAAAAGATAAATAAGATTGAATAACACAATTAACATAACGTCGTATGGACATTATGGAACACTGTACCCCAAAATATACATTCTTACAATAAAATATTTTTAACTGACCATATGCTAAAGTCTTAAATTTGGAAAGATTGAAAGATACTATATATTTGGAAATGAAATTCTTGTGATAACTAAAGTCTGCTGATACATGATCCTGGAATTCTGGTTTAAAGGAAAAAAGTATTTAGAAGACATTATTGAGTCAAATGATACAAGTAAGAAGCATGGTCTATAGGTTAAAGTACTGTAACAAGGTCAGTTTTTTTTTTTTTTTTAACTTTGCTATGAATACATAAGAAAATCCTTGTTTTTAGGAAATGCACACTTAATTTATTAAAGGGTTAAAGGGCTATGAGGAGGCAAACTAAAAAATTGATTAATCTGTATAAGGAGATATATGATCTCTATACTTGGAAATTTAACTTTGAAATTATTATAAAATAAGCAGTTTAATACATTTAAATCATCAACAAGGAATTCCAGTAGATATTAGAAAACATTTTGATTTGAATAGTAGTGAAAATATCAGTCAATCAAGCCTTGAGGTTTTTCTTTTTAATAACTGAAGCCATATTTGGAGGACAGTTTATATTATTAAATGCATATGTTGTATGTTAAGGATAAAGTCAATTCACTAAACATTTATTGCAGTTTAGGAAAAGTAGCAGATTAAACCCAAAGTAAGTGTGTTTTAAAAGAAACATAATAAAGACAAGTGTAGGAATAGTCAAAGCCAAAAATTCAGTCTTTCAAAAGACTACTAAATAATCAACAATTCTCTGTACGAGTGATTGAGAGAGCAGGCCCAAATAACCACTACCAGGAGTAGGAAGGTGGCGTTACTCCATATTTCAAATGTTATAATGAAAATTTTTACATGATATTGGAAAACTCTTAGAAAATGAAGTTTTTACCAAAACTTATGCTAAATACAATAGAAAGAATAGTCCTTTAATGTTCATTCATAGTTTAAAACCTTCCCACAAAGAAAATTACACATGCAAATGACACCAATAAATGTACCACATAGTTAAGGTAAAAATAGCCCCTTTTGGCCTGGCGCGGTGGCTCACACCTGTAATCCCAGCACTTTGGGAGGCCAAGGCGGGCAGATCACAAGGTCAGGAGATCGAGACCATCCTGGCTAACATGGTGAAACCCCGTCTCTACTAAAAATACAAAAAAGTAGCCAGGCGTGGTGGCAGGCACCTGTAGTCCCAGCTACTCGGGAGGCTGAGGCAGGCAAATGAACCCGGGAGGCGGAGCTTGCAGTGAGCCAAGATTGCGCCACTGCACTCCAGCCTGGGCTACAGAGCGAGACTCCGTCTCAAAAAACAAACAAACAAAAAAACCCCTTTCTTATACAGACTTGTCCGGAGAATGGCAAAAAAAATGAATTCTTTCCAACTTGTTATATGAAACCAGCATAACTTTTACACCAAAACTGACAAGGAATAGAAATGAAAAATTACAGGCCAGTTTCACCCATGAAATGAATGTGAAAATTCCAAGAAATGGAAAATAAGTAGAAAACAGATGATTTGAGAGGAGGGGAAAACTTGCCTTAAATCTCGTAGTAGTGTCATTTTTGGACAGTGTAATCACAACCAATTTGGCCTCATTTTGGGGATACAGAATTCATTTAACATGCCAAAATCAGTGATGCTAAAACCTTTCATGTCATATTAAAAGAATAAAGGAAAAAGTATATGCCTATCTTAATAGAAGCAGTAGAAACATTCCATAAAAATTAAATATACATTCCTAACATCTTAGCAAACTAGAAATAAAAAAAGAATTTCCTAAGCCTGATAAAGATTATTTATGGAAAGTAGAAAACGTACTTAATATTGGAATATTGAAAGTCTTTGCATTGAGGTGAGGAACAACATAAGGGTGACCATTTTGACCATTTAATGTAACCTTATATTAAATAAGTGTAGTAAAGAAAAAGTTTACTAAGATAAAAAAAACTTGAGTTGCCTATGAAAGTGTTTGAAATATTATTATTCACAGATATGATTATGTACAAAGGAAATCCAATGTAATTATTAACTGGGTATCCCCTTTTTCTAACTGGCAACCCTATTTAATTACATGTAAACATTTAAAATCACATATAAAATACGTTAATTTAGAAATATTGTATTTTGTACATTTTATAGGAAAACTTAAACTCTTGATATGTATCTTCTATATCATTGCCTTTCTATCTTCTCTAGAACTTCTCTTCAGTTATCAGACATAGTCTGGCAAAGTAAATGATCTTTCCTCACTTTCAAATTGGAAACTTTTTAAAGTGCTATATCTTATTATACTGTTGCTTAAAGTTTTATCACAAGGCATAACGTCTAGAATTTTGCCCTTCTCTCTCTGTATTTATCCCGATTTTTCTTTGTGGCCCCTAGAACATAACTACCTATTATTTAAAAGTGGTCTTTTGAAATGTTTGTTTTCAGCAGGCTTGCATAATGTAGAAATTGCAAGATAGTTAATAAGTCAGATTATATATCATTGACTATTTTTTGCCAAGTCCACCAAGTGAAAGTGAACTCTGTAAGCTTATAAAACTGAATGATGGATGCACGTGGTTCTCAAACTTTCAAAATATTTACGTGTCCATAATCTTTCTTGAAGGATAATTTGAGAGGTGGGGAAAACTTGCTTTATTAGGGATACATTTGATGTTTTAAAAGATTGTTATATAAATTCTTTATAATCCTATTTTATGTTTTTATCAGTCTTTTTATTCTTGTACTTTTCCTCATTATATTTTTTATATGAAATAATTTGCTTATTTCTTCAGATATCAATTTATAGAAGAAGCTTTTCAGAATCAGAAAGTGATCATAGATACACTAATCACCAAACTGATGGAAAAAACAAAATACATAAAATTCACAGGAAATCAGATCCAAAACAGGTAATTTTATGGTATTATATAATCATTTTTATATAATTTGTGAAGTATATTCACTTTTAGAACATTTTCCTTAACTCACAGTTAAGTAATAAGTTGTTAGATGACAGCAATAACACATGGTTGATAAGACTTTCCCAGAAACTTAGTTGGAAAGCATTCTTTTCTGCTGTAAAATTTCAAAACTCATATGATAATAAACTACATTTAGTATTTTGATAGCTCATTTATCTAATAGGTATTGATAACTTATTATCACTTATTTTCCAATTTTAAAGAAATACCAAGATTTAAATGCAAAACCAACCATTTTGTGCCAGTATTGTAAAATATTTTAACACTTAAATGAACCCTGAATTGTTATTTTAAGGTTTGCTGAAATTTGAGATGCCTGCCTTATGCTGTGATTTTTTAAAACTGCAAACAGGTGGAAATTTTAAGACACTAGGATACAGGGATTGTTAAACTGTTCCACACACTTTTTACTTCTTGCCTGATAAAATGCTTACTTAAACAATTACTTATTATGCCTTTTGTCCTGGTAAGAAAATCATCAACTGTCCAAAGTCTTAGACATCAGTGACTGGGGAGAACCACTAACCTCCGTGGAGCAGGGGCAGCTGAAGGTGTTGTCTAACTCCTTTTTAAATCCCATGTAGGGCACATACTGACATTTAATTTATACACCTACGAAATCCCATGACCTCTTCTGTTGTTTTACACACAAAAGAAATGTCACTGCCTACATAAGTCAAGAAATGTTCATTAGAATGAGCCAGAGTAAAAGAGACCTCACAGAGAATTTTAAATGTTTTCCCATGTATCAGTTGTGTCAGCCTTTAAGACAGTCATCAATCTGTTATTATCATTTTGGAACATAACTGGGGGTGAAGCATTTGGAAATTTTTTAAGGTAATGAATTCCCTGTATTACCTGATTTCCTTAAAAGAGATTTTTAAACATAATTTTACTATTTCTTGATACCCCAGCATCATTATTGTATCTATTTATTATTATGCCCC